GTAATTGGTGCCGCGGGGAGCTACACACGGTGGAATTTTAGAGGAGAGAGAAATGGTGAAGGAGACAGATTCGTATGATATATTAGAAATAGTACAACGACCACCAAAGCTGAGATTAAGAAAGCTTATTACATCAAGGTCAGCTTCTTTAATTGCTCCTTCTTCTCTATGATTGATATTTATTGTGTGAATCAAGTCATTTCTTTGCCTTATAGATGGTTCTACATGGAACCAATTACTTGATTCTTCATTATTTCATTACCTCTGTAAATTATTGTGGAAAAATCTGTGTTAAAGATATTAGGATAAATCTTTCTATTTTCACAGTATACTTGGTGGCATTTGTGTCTCTGTAAATTGCTGTAAAAATTAGTTACACATTCATTTTCTGTATGTAGTAGGTCGTATTATGTGTGCCTGACTTTGATGTTAGGTTCCATTTGTTTCAATTTTTAAGGTGTGAAGGGATTAGAAAGGAATTTTATTTCATTAAAACATAGTGTTGATACTAAAAGTTAAAACCACAATATTTCACAAGAGTGTTACATAAGAGCTAAAGCATTGATTTTTGTCCTTTTAGTAGGAGGCTCACTTTTTTATAGTTTTCCCTCGACATGTGTAGCAGTTAGATAGGAAAATGGTTCGACAATTGCCGGTTGCTCTAACCTTGGCTTTTCTATTGTAAGGTTAGGAATGGCTTTGTTAAACCTGAGGTCTTCTTCTTCCTTCACTTGTTACAACCATGTCGCGGAAGAATACTTTGCATTTTCTATATGTTTTCTCCTCGGGATCATACTTACAATTTCCTTCTTGGTGTATTTTGAAAAGTTATATTTATTTCTACAACATTGGAGATCTGTGCAATTTACATTTACTAAAAGGAAGAAAACACCATCTTATATGCAACGTGGAAAAAAAAAACGCATTTTGAAAGTTTTGTTGCTTTAATTCTATTTAGATTTAGTATCATCTTGTTGTAGCTTTAACTTGATCTTATTTCCTTTTGTAGGCTAAAGATGATAATGGAATGGAGGTTGAGCACCCGTGCAAATGTCGAAGTGAAGTTAGTGTTGATGGGCTTGGTCATTGTCCTGAGGGAATTGAACTTAGTGCTATTTAATCATAATCCCTGCAAAATTCTTGGTTGAAGAAAAGTTGAACCTTGGACATATCATTGCCCTAGGGGATAAAGTGCGGAGATTTCAAAAGCATAATTTCTAAGTGAATGGGTACAGATTTGAAAAGATCCGGATCATACATTAGGAACTGTTTTAACATTAGTGATTATATTTTGTTTTGATGACATTACAAACTATTAAGTGTATTGCAGAATGTGTAATCAAAATTAACTATAACATTTTCAAGTACGAAGAAAGTAAAACAAATATAATCGAAGAACTGGTCGCGCAACGCACGATACGTAAAAGACTAGTTTATCCTCAAAACTGCAAGATGTAAATCATAAATAAAATTCAATAAATGTTACAAATTAGTTCAATTGTGATTTTTGAGAGTGTGTTACTAGGGAGAATGTCGGAAAGAAATTTTATTTTCTTTTAATCGAAATTTCAAATTTTTATTTTTTTATATTGACAAATGTTGCGCTTAGATTATAATTTTTTTTTCTGGCTTAAAAAACAAATAATAAATATCGGTATTGTACGTTCCCATCTTGAGTGACATATACACAAGCCATTATAATATTCTAACATATTAATAATCAAATTTATTTATTTCTTAAATATTTCCTTGAATTTAATAATAAGTTAATTACAATCACATTACTAAAAATTTTTAGCACAAAAGTTTTTTAATCCAAAAATACATGAGAACATAGAAATTTTTGGTAAAATTTTTTGCAATAAAACTCTAAATATAAATTAAAAATTGACATTTTATCAAACTTGGAAGGTACTAAATTGCCAATGAATTCGTGGTTGTAAGAAATAGGATGGAAAATAATTTTCTTAAACTTTTGAGGTCGTTAAATAATAAAGTAATCTTTATCCAGGAGGGAATGTATGACGCATCTCCCACCAAACACCGCCGCGATCGAATTCCTATTTTCTTTCAAAATCCCTTTGAGATTCACTTTTTATATATATTTCTTCAAACCTCAAAAATTCGTAAGAACCCAATACAAATGGGAGCAATTCGTCTCTGAGAAGAGGTAATATTTTTCCTATCAATTTCAATTCACACTATAGCTTAAGAATTGTTATCCAACAATTTCTTTGATTTGTCGTGAAAAAAAAAAAGGTTATCTCGGCCTCCAATTTTCTCTGTGAATTCAGGATTCTGATTTGTTTAATAGGACTCTCATACTGTTGATTTTCCGGGGTGTGATTGAATTTGTATTGTGGGTTATTTATTTTAACCTAGGTTTTTGTTGTATAGTTGAATTACTAGGTCGGGATATATATATTTTTGGAGTGAACCCCTCTATCGTGGATTACTTTACTAGTCTGTAGCGTCTGGCTAGTCATTCTTAGCACTCTCATGACCAAAGTCTTATAATCGATTGTTCCATGTTGTGCTGTAATCAATCTACCTTCAACGGAAATACCCAATATCTATCGCACATCGTGTAACATGATGGTCATCTCCCCAAAAGGCATGTGAAACGTGTTGGTGTCCGGCTGCCACCTCTCTACAAATACTGTAATCAATGTCTTATCAATGTTGGTGTGCATGATGTCCACGATGTGGGGTAACCCTGTACCAACCAACAAGATCTGAGCCTCAGTCGACATAGAACCCTTCCATTCTTTCAACAACTTGAAATATGTGACTCTTGTATCCATCTCCAAGGAGGGTTTGTACGACTTATCCGTCAAGCGATGGGCCACATGACCAAGAAAACTAAGAATAACAGAACCGTCATGAGGGCCACCAACAACTGGTCTCGTGACAACCCAAGGCTGGGCATTACTCTCTGAAATTAATGTAAACAAATCATTCAATTTTTTCCCGATAAAATATTTGAAAAAACTTAACTACTAAAATGTAAAATATAAACCCCATACACTAATTTCTTACCTGCTAATGACAATGATGATGCAGATGCAGATACTGATGTAGATATAGCTCCAAGTCCTCTAATCCTAAGACGAATAACATTGCTTCGTCTAGTTGGAGGTGAATGTGGAGGTGAATATGGAGGTAAATGTGGAGGTGAGTCACCTCCGAAATCATTAAACCCTTCCGAGTCGATATCTTCAGTCGGGACATTATCATTATCACTCACATTTTGTAGGTCCAAACTGACATGATCAAAAACATCGTCAAGTCCCACATTACTACCGGCCTGACCCATCTGCGACTCACCCTTTGACTTATGCCCACTTGGACTCCGACGACGATATGAGGCAGAAATAACTCGACCATGCATGTCCCGTGTACCCGACTCAAGCAACAATAAAGACTCAGGTGCATCTGGCATTTTCTTTTATCTTCTTTGAACCTACATTAATGAATGTATATAATTACTCCACTACAATAATCAAAATAGAAATTAAAATAAATTTAATTAAATAAATTATACCTAATTAATTTATCGTTTAAACCTACATTAAATATTATATATAAATATTTCATTACAATAATTATTCAAATAGAATTAAAATAAAATCAATTAAATTAATTATACCTAATTAATTTGTCCATTTAACCAAAATTAAATATTATATATACCTATTCCATTAAAATAAAGATTCAAATATAAATTAAAATAAATTAAATTAAATTAATCATACATATTAAATTTATACATTTTTAATGGAATATAATTAAATTAATTACAAATCTAATTAAATTAATTACAAAACTAATTAAATTTCTTCCTTTCAAGATAAATTAATACAAATCTAATTAAATTAATTCTAATTAATAACACAACATTCAACAACTAATTACCTAATTATAAATAATTTAACTAAAATAATTATAAAAAAATTACAACAATTTTTTTTTTTTTAAAAAAAGAAAACTACCCAGGCTGGCCGACTCGAACGGTGGCCAGCCCGGGAACCTTGGCCGGATTTATCACCAGCCAAGGGACGTGCCTGACCAGGCCAATCCTTGAAGAGTGGTTGACTCGATGGTAAAAAAATTAAATTACTGAGGCCCACCTGGTAAAGTATATGAAATTTTTATTTTTTATTTTTTATTTTTTATTTTTTCTAATTCCAAAATATTTTTAATTATTTTATTATATTTGATTATTATTTTATTTCTTAATTACAGTAAAACCAAAAGATGGGCAAAAGGACGAAATACCAATAGACGGTCAGTTTGATGGAAAATTTAGTTGGGACGTAAATTAAATAGACTAAAAATCTCCTTTTTAGACAAAATGGGATGAAAATGATTATTTTAAAATGTGCAGGACATAAAATAATTTTTTAACCAAATATATAGTACGTTTTCTATGGTTTAGTCTTACTTTTATCCTCGAAAAACTTCAAGATGTAAATCATCAATAAATTTGAAGAAAATGTTACAAATTGGTTCAATTGTGAGTTTTGAGAGTGTGTTACCAGGGAGAAAGTCAGAAACAATTTTTTTTTTCTTTTAATCGAAATTAAATTTATTTATTTTTTATATTGACAGATGTTGCACTTACATGATAGTTTTTTTTCTGGCTTAAAAAATAAATAATAAATATCGGTATTTTACGTACCCATCTTCAATGACATATACACGAGTCATTATAATATTCTAACATATGAATATTCAAATTTATTTATTTCTTAAATATTTCCTTAAATTATAATTATAAGTTAATTACAATCGCATTACTAAAATTTTTTAGCACAAAATTTTTTTATCCGCAAATACATGAGAAAATAAACTTCTTAGGGTAAAATTATTTGCAATAAAACTCTAAATATAGATTAGAAATTGACATTTTATCGAACTTGGAAGGTACCAAATTGCCAATGAATTCGTGGTAATAAGAAATAGGGTGGAAAATAATTGTGATAAATGTTTGGGGTCATTAAGTAATAGAGCAATCTTTACCAAGGAATGTACGACGCATCTCCCACCAAACACCGCCGCGATCGAATTCCTATTTTCCTTCAAAATCCCTTTGAGATTCACTTTTTTATATATATTTCTTCAAACCTCGGAAATTCGTAAGAACCCAATACAAATTGGAGCAATTCGTCTCTGAGAAGAGGTAATATTTTTCCTATCAATTTCAATTCACACCCCAATTGTATAGGTTTAGCTTAGGGATAGTTATCCAACAGTTTCTTTGATTTGTCGTGAGAAAAAGGTTATCTTTGGTCTCCAATTTTCTCTGTGAATTCAAGGGTTCCGCTTTGTTTTATAGGACTCTCATACTGCTGATTTCCCGGGGTGTGATTGAATTTGTATTGTGGGTTATTTATTTTAACCTAGGTTTTTTGTTGTATAGTTGATTTACTAGGGGATATATATTCTTTTGGAAGGGGATCGGTTAGGGTTTGATCGAATTGAAGTTGGGTGCGTTGTGGGATTGGTGTAAAATCTGATAGTTGTCTCAAATTCGGCTTTAGGGCAGAAGAATTATTTTTATGGCATTTGAATGCCGAAAGCATACTGAAAATCGTTTAACAAATAGTCCAGCAGATTTTTCAGATTGTTTTGCCAATGTACAAGTTGATAGTAAGGCAATCAATTCCACTGACAGAGGAAAGAGTGCTGCAATTGACACTGGAAAATTAAGGCCTAGATCAAAGTTGAATGGAAAAGGGGGGATTTTGAGCTCAACGAGTCAAAATTTGGTGTTGAAGAGTCAAAATTTGGTGCCTGCTACTGATCTTGTATCAAGCTTCTGCCAATCCATCACTGATCTCCCGCAAGTACTGATTTCTGAAATTTTCAACTGCCTGGACCCTAAAGACTTGGGCATTGCGTCCTGTGTTAGTAAGTTTCTTTATAAGCTTGCATCTGAGCATCACGTGTGGAAGAAATTCTACTGTGAAAGGTGGGGGATTCCAGTAGCCCCATGCCTGGGGCTGCAGGATGCAGATGAGAAATCATGGAAAGATTTGTTTGTGGAGAAGGAGTTTCGAAGTAGAACTTTTCTGGGCCGTTTTACTAGTGACATGCTGTGCGGACATAAGGATGCTGTGTTAACTGTTAGTGTTTTAGCTTCCAAGAAGCTTATTTTTACTTCAGGTTATGATCAAGTAGTGAGGATGTGGAATATGGAAGAGGGGATGTTTATTGCATCATCTCGGCCTCTCGGGTGCACAATTCGTGCTGTTGCTGCTGATACAAAGCTATTGGTTGCTGGTGGTACTGATGGTTTCATACACGGATGGAAAGCAGAGGATGGAAATCCTAATTTGTTTGACATTAAGGCTCAAAATCAAAACTTGGAGTTTCGTATATGGGAACACGAAGGTGCAATTACATGTCTTGCCCTTGATTTTGCTAGGATTTACAGTGGTTCTTGGGACATGACTGTCCGGATATGGGATCGGTCCAATCTCAAATGTTTGAACGTTTTGGTGCATTGCGACTGGGTTTGGAGCCTTGTCCCTCATGAAAACAATTTGGCAAGTTCTGCAGGTTCAGATGTTTATGTTTGGGACTCTACTTCCGGGATTCAACTGGCTGCTATCAACAATGCTCATAAAGGCAATGCATTTTCTTTGGCAAGAAGTCACACTGGAAAGCTCTTATTTACTGGAGGGGAAGAAGGGGACATTCACATGTTTGAGATTGCCAGTGACGAGAGTTATGACGTTCGAAAGATTGCAAAGTGGAGACCTCATACTGGTCCAGTTCATTCTCTTGCATTTGAATTTCCTTGGCTAGTTGCAGCCTCTAGTGATGGGAAGGTTTCACTGATTGATGTGAGAAACTTAATGAGGACGAACAAGGATTTGTCAACTGGAAATTCTTCCGAAGATGTTGACCTGGATGAGAAAAGTGTGGAGCCCCCACAGAGAATGCTGCATGGATCTGACTGTACTCTGTTTTCCCTGGATATTGGTCCTGACCGTATTGTATGCGGGGGTGAAGAAGGTTTTGTAAAGATCTGGAACTTCACTGGGGCTCTGGAGACAGAACAAAGAGTTCGAACATTGAGAGGCTTAAGATTAGAAAACAGAATGAGAAGACGCAAGCTCCAAATTGATATGAATAAAAAGGCTGGCCGAAGTGATCAATGTTCGGTAGCTGTCAAGAAGAACCAAACTGTTGCTGACAGGAATAGCTGGCACAATAGGCGTAGGGTGAGCGGAAAAGTAAATGCTTAAACTTTGAGTGAAAACTTCATTGTCTCACCAGCTTATGTGGTTTCACCTTTTAGTAATCAAATTTATCAGTTGCAGCTAATTCTTTTGGTTTTCTCTTTTCATTTTCAATCCTTAATATTGTTCTTACATTATATATAGATGGATGCTTTGAACCTTTGATTCAATGTACATCCTTTTTCTTTTCTGGCTGTTAAGACTGTCTTTTGCCTGTGCTTTCTTTGTTTGAAACTGTTGAGTTATTCGTATTATTGTCTTCTGTAGAAGTGTAGATTCACTAATTTCCTGATTGTTGCTTCCAATGTCGTGATGTAAGATTATTATTATATTATTTTCTTCTAGTTCGATTGTTTTAACAGTGCAAGGTGGTCTGCAGAGCAATAGTTGAAAGACACTAGTGATCCTTGTACAATTTTGAGACATTAGGACATGCGATGAAGCAGATCCGGGGAGTCTGCTAATTTTGGTTTTAGTTTTATAGTTTTTCTTTCTGCCAATGGAATCCCAGGAGGTTTTCACCCTTTCATCCATTTGATTGAGATCTAGTCTTCTACCCTACTTTGCTTGTTCACAACTTTGGCCGCTCTTTGCATTCCTTACCCTTGTGAAAATTAATTACAGATGTATTTTCCAATGAAACCAGTATTCGATTTGTCCGGATAGTTAACAATTAGCTGCATGTCTGATAGTTTCTTATGTTTTTTATTTGTTAAAATTTATAGTTGTGAAGGGAAGTGGATGACAAATAGTGCCGCATTTGCTTAAAGTCTTGGTGAAATTGAATCTTGAGTTTCTAGTCGTTGAATTCTCATTGTTTGGAAGAAGATGACCAATATGTGCAAATGCTAGGTCGAACTAAGTTTCTAAGCATTTGATCCCATGTTAGTATGAACTCCGGGTGTGGCATTGATAGAGTGATTCACCGAAGACATACCCTGTTCAATGAATCTGATAAGTGATTCTGAGAACTCAATGTTATAAGTAGAGGTTACAATTTGTGTGCAAAGATCACGTCCTTCTGAGTAATTTAGCACCTGCAACTCTAAATGGCGAAGAGGATGTGATACCAGACATTCATGATCACGCCTTGACGAGTTAGAAGAATTGCAGGAAAAGATCATGTTTGCTCTCTAGAGTACTGAAGATTTATTTGACTACTCAAAAGTCAAAACTGCTTTCTCATGAATTAGTTTGTACAATTATAAGATATCATACATGCTAACAGAACACATTAGATCAAGTGTTCCAACGTATCTGGACGTTGCATTTTAAATATGTACCCATCTCCAGAATGCAGTCTTCAAATCCATCATGACGAACCCCTTCATCTGAATCTTCATTGTTTAACATCTTCTGATTCATTGCTAGGTTCTTCTACGACTTCAAACTTTGAAACCCGGAATATCGCCAAGTTAGTGTCCCCTGACAAGTAATAGGTCAATTCAGGACATGTATACAGCACATAAGGAAACTTCTGTCACGATTGAACGGGTGCAATGCTGGGGCTTCTTCTTCTGTAACATAGTTTCACCATAACTATGCTACTTCTAATAGTGATTAATTCCACATTCACTCATTGGTTTCCAATGTAGTGGTAATTACTATATCATAAAAATGTCAACCGATATAATTGAGTATCATGCCAATTATTTTGAGAAGTAAATAGCATGCAAATACTCCAAAGTGAAATGGTTAAGAATGGTAGTTTAAAACAAACTAGACAGTACATATATGGTATGATGCATTTGCGATATTTTGCAATTAGCAGAACCAGAGAAGGTATACTAAATTAAGTAGAAAATGGATGGTGCTAGCACTTTTTTGTTGGAGATACATTTCTCTTCATCAAACCTGATACATGCAAAATTTTCACCATAATCACTATCTGAATCTAAATCATGAGATAATTTTTGGTGTACATTTTTTCCTGACCACCAAATTACTGCAAACAAATTTAGTAATAATCTTTCACAGGTCAAGAGTTCATGAAGAAAACATTCCCCTTCAAAAAAAATTTCTAAAGAACACAACTCACGATAATTTCTGTAGAACTTATGTAACCCACCTTGGATGTTTTCTGGAGATTTCAATCGTTACTCTTATGCTACTTAACAGAACACAGCAATAACTTTTTGCCCCAACATTCACCAAAAACTTTATCCTATTGCATACAAACTCTTGCAAGTGCAAGGATTGTTTAACAATGCTTGAATTAGCCAACTTGGCTGCCTTGTATAATCCTCTTTGTCTAATACATATTAGCAAGGTATAAGCAAGGATTGCCATATGATATTTTCATCACAAGGTTCCAGAATTTCATCATAAATTCAGGTTTCACACTACTTCCTCGACAACTGTGCCGATAACATGGAACCGATTGAGATGGCTTGTTCATATATGCAAGAGAGCTGAATAGTACCAAATGAGATTACTTGTTCGTATACGCAAGACATCTGAACGTACTAACCATCAGGACTTTTCAGGCTTTTCTGGACTCTTTTAAAATAACTTATGTCGGAATAAGAAATTGAACACACACAGAGTTTTCAGATAGCCTACCAAATGTCACTATACTTCCAGGCCATGCTACAGCAGCGACACCAGGTTGCAAGCGCTTGTCGCCAATGAATGTACCATTTGTGCTGTCCAAATCAGTAATCAAAAGATTCTGTTCTGTCTTCTGAATTCGAGCATGCACCCCGGAAACTATTAAAACAAGAAATTTAGAGTTAAAAAGTAGTTATGGTTCAGAATTCACATCTCTCAGTGAAACGACATTTAGATCAGTGTCTGACCACAACTCTTTTTTGTGTCACCATCAACAACACTTTCTAGCACTTGATTCATGACACTATCAACCTATGATTTACTTTTCTTAACGCGATGTCTGACGCGACAGCGTATAGAGTACCTGAACTACATTAAAGATGATTTTAACAACAAAAGATGGGGCATCAGCAATGAAAAGTGCATAACCATCACTTGGAGCACTTGTACTTCCTCTTTTGGAAAATCATAAAAATTCTAAAACTGGAAGACACAGTGCACTTAGGCAGAAAAATACAGTACAGAAACTGATACCTGTTGGGACAGGAATCACTATGTCTGCCCTGTCAGCTACTCTTCCAACCGTAATATCACTCTGAATCACATCAACAATAGTCTGAACATACAATCTCAATGAACAGATCAAAAGACAGATTCATGACATACTTACAGAGGATATTTCAAAGGCATCCGCCCGAGCAGTCTTAACACCAATGTGCCTTGAATCACCATCACCTAATGTTCCACAAATTACAGCCATGTAAGGATGATCAAGTCAAGTTGAAGATCAATTTCAACAATTTACTCTAATCAATAAAAATTAGCTACTGATTCCGTCTAGTATACAACATTTTGATAGCTGTCATGAAGTTTGGCAAATCAGAAAGCATGCAGCATAATGCTTCATAAGCCCCACACAAACCAATGAAAATAGTGGATGCAACCAGAAAATTAAAAGCAGATCAATGTGGTCTACATAAAATTATTACTCTGAAGCATGGAAAAAAAAGGGTAAAAACTTCAAATTGATTGCAACCCTTTTCACTAATTATACTAGCCAAATTGCCTTGATCAAGACAGAAAACGAATCACCAACCTATAGGTTCAAGAACCCATTTTTCTGCAACACTGGTTGAGCTAGTATCAACACCAGAAGCATGAATTGGTCCCAAGATTCTCAGCTTCCTAGAACAACATTGTAGCTTTGTAGACAAACAATTGAATCCCAAAACATTGCTAGGATGTTGGAAAGAAACATTAGCTCTATTAGGATAGTAAGCTGGAGATAGAGAATCAATGCAACTTGCTGAAGGAAACTTAGGTGAGGAAGAAAGAGACTTGGTAGTTATTGCTTCCATATGGGCTTAGTTTTGATCTTTCTTGTTTGTTCAATTTGTGACGGTTAACGTAGCAAATTGGCAAACACTTTTTTTTCGAGTATGCATATCAACAAATTTATTGGAAAGGGTTCAAAGGGTTATGGAGTTTGCTAAGTAACAAGAAACAATTAAGTGGCTTGCGTTTATTGTGGAATGGATGGGAAACATTTTGGATAACAAGCAAATAACGCCACCTTTTTTTTTCGAAACGGCATTATGCTTCATTTTCTTACTTTTCTGCTTCTTTTCTCTTTTCCTTTTTTTCCCCCTCCTTTGTTGCCTTATACAGTTTTTCATGTGGGCTAAGCATTTTCTAGAATACTTTTTATTCGAAAAAGATTAGCTCAATGATAAATTTATGTATTTTAACAAATTCGGTGTTTGTGGAGATTGAATTATTCAGCTAAACGGTTCAACACTTGTTGTGAATCTTATGGATCTTTCACTCCAAATTAACATGTGTTACATTGTAATAACTCACTGATGCTCTAATGTATTTCCTCCGTTCCAATAATAATAATAATAATAATAATCCAACTTTGAGATTCATTCTAGTTTTAGCATAAATTTCGAAATTGAGAACTATTTTTTTGAGACGGATGAAGTAAAATTCTAATTTCTAGGCTTCTGTCTCTTATAGAAAAAAAATGATATATTTGTGAAAAGTAGAAAAAAAAATTTAAAAATACTTTATATGGCCCGTTATCTTGATTTTAATTTTATGAGTTTACGATCTTAAATTGGAGAATAATCGGCGTTCATACCTAAAATTTGCCTGCGTCGTCAACCCCACCCTGTAGATTTTTAGTTAGCTAGTTTTGTTTTCTTCGTTTGAATTTTTGCTAATTTCGTCTAATCACCGAATTTCCTTTAGTTTTTTTTTTAACAAAAATACTTTGTTAGTTTCAAAAAATTATAAAAATAACTCCAACATATATAAAATAAAACCACCCTTTTCCACTTTTTATTTATTTTTTTCTATTTCATTATGGTTTTCTTTACTATTTTTTATAATCATAAAAGTATACCATATGATCTTTAAAGAAATATTTTAATATATTTTCAAACTTGATTAACCATAGCATATTTGTAGCTCATCGTTATACAGTAAAAATTCTATCAATTAATAGTGTTGGGTCAACAAAAATTTATTAATTTGTGGAGATTAATATTTTATCGATAAATTATTAATATTTATTAATATTTTTAAAAATATTTATTAATATTTTTTATCGATAAATTTTTAATTTGTGGAAATTTATTAATATTTTATCGATAATAATTATTATTTTATCAATAAATTAATATTTTTTTAATTTAAAGATTTTTTCCTAGTTTTATGAGGCAACAAATACTCAACTTTAACCCTACTTTCTTATGTAGTAATGATTTTATTATTTTTATTTATTGGTTAGAGAGAAAATCAAACATAAATTTTTCTTAGATATAAATTTTAAGAAAAAAATAAATCTCAACAACCTCCTACTTTCTTAAACCTTCTTAGTCTATATTTTATGTCATTATTACTTTCTGATTTTTACGGGACTTCTATGTGTATAAAAATTTTCTAAAAATTTATAATCTTATTAATTTATTGATTTTGTTTCATTTTTTGTGTTGGTCCCGAGTTGAGACTGGAGAAATTTATTATTTAATAGAGAATATTAATTTATAGAGTAGTTTTGCTATGTTTACAATATCATTATATATATATTAAATGAAAGAAAGATAATCTACACGTGTCGCTTATTGAGACCATCAAGCCTCAATTAACACGTGTCATTTACTAATTGGTTGATCATTAATCAGTTAAAATTTTATGTAAACAGTTAATAAATTATTTACTATATAAGATTTTTACACATATTACAAATTCATGATTGTGAGCTTGAAAATGAATATTTTTGAAAATTACTGAGAAACCATCGACTTCAGAAGTCCTTTCATTTATGAGTTTAAACTTTCAACTTATTGTCATTTTGGCCCTTAAAATTTCATTTATGTGCTACTTAATTGTTCAAGTTTATCAATTTTACATATTCAAGGATGATTAATTTTGTCTAATTCCCAAAGTCCCTTGCCTACAAATAGGCCATAGGCATCTAGACATAATTTACGTATTTTTTTAAATATATTTTTTAATCCAAACATAATATTAGTTAGTGGTAATAATTTTTATTATACAACTTTTGAAAATCTTTGTTGTAATATTTTTGACCAGATCTTACAAATATATATCTCATAAATATTATCAATGCCTCTCATTTTGATCTCAAATTGATTAATCAAAAAAATATTACGGTTTTAAGAAATATTAATAACTACATTATCTAATTAATTCTTTTGAAAGATAAATTTTCAATATTGACAAACTACGCGGGACACATACTAGTATAAGAGTAAACCACAAAACAAATCACTATACTATGATTGTATTGCACAACAGATTATTATTCTAATTCATTCCGCTACATGTACCTTTATAATCCAAAAATTCGTTTGAAGTTATTCTATAAATTATGGGCATTAAATCGTAACAGGGAGTATTTTTCACATCCAATATACGTGAGTTCAGTTCATAGACAGTTTCATGCATCATTTTGTATTTTTATACTTTTTCAATTTTAAATAATTTTTTTGGGATGGCAATTATGACGGACCCGAAATTTCGACGTGGTTCAATTGGCTAAATAAGTGTTTAGATAAAAGTTCCGTGTTAAATTTTGAGATAGTACCATCATTTAGGGGTTTATATCAAATGGCCCCAACTAAATTATAATGTATGTGGTAAAGTATTAGTAATATATATACCTGTTGTTTATGATCTTATATTCCGAGCTAACACAACCACACAACGTCGTGGGCAATCACTTGTATTGTATGGAATTTTATTTTTTTTTTATCGAAACCGTTAATTTAACATGTATGAAAAATATAATTTAATTTGCACTGTTGTTATCTTCTATTAGAAATTTAGAATGTGGTGGCGGCCAACAACAATCCAAAATTTATAAATTAAAAAAAAATAAAAAGAAAAAAAGAAGCAACTTATGTTGTATTTTTAACAATCTTTCGTGAAACGCTAATTTTTTATTCGTCCTTACAAATACTGTCAAATGTTCTCCATACACATTTGAATCCACAGATACAAAGGTACAAAACAAAATAAATAAAACGAAGTAGAAATTACCTAATAATTAATTAAGTTTATTTGAATCTACAACAAAATAATTAGCCATTTTTAATTTTCTATCCCAAAACAAAAGAGAGATTAGTTTGTTTAGTTTTTTTTTTATGTTTTTTTTATTACTAAAATAATAATTGTCCCATCCCAATATGCTTTTTTACATTTTTAATACACTTTTTTATATTTTCAATACAAAAAACACCTAAAAACACACATTAAACAAACGAAACAAACAAAACAGAACCCATGGCGTAACATCCTCTTGAAGCTGTACAACTCAAATGCACATGCTTTTTTATTTTCAAAAAGAAAATATCCCTGGAGAAGAAGAATTCCGCACTTAACCATCTCTCTAATTCCTAAGTAGCACAAGTCCTTGGAATAGCTCAACGTTAATATTGTGACATATGATCTTATGATTTAGGCCAAACAATTAATTAATGAGTTCTCTCTTTCTCCTGAAAAAAATAAAAATCTAAATTAGTTATATCATTAAATTCAACAACGTGAACTACATTCTTATGGAACTAAGAAGTACTACATGGGCTGTATAATGTGAGATGTAAATGAGATTCTGTACTTATCCCATATTAATGACAGTTTATGATTTGTTGTAAACCGAAGAAAACTCATTCTTTATTACATTATCACTAATCAATTATCGTATATCACCACTAAAATAATACTCCCTCTATTCCAAAATAGATGTCGTTGGAGGAAAATTCTTTTTTTTTTCAAAATATATATCGTTTTTCCATTTCGAGGCATGTTTTGTCAATTTCTTCCAACATTACCCCTACATGGGAAATTGTAATTGTGTTTAAAGTAGAAGTATATTAGAACTAAATAATATTGGAAATAGGATTCCATTGAAAATAAATGACGGTAGATTAGTATTTTAACCAAGTATTTATTGTATTCTTAAACTTTGTGCAATTCTCCCAACGACATCTATTTTAGAATGGAGGGAGTATTGATTTATTAGGATTAAGGAGAATTTTGAAGCTCGCTTAATAATTTAGTGTCAATAAATAGAACTCGGTACCACCAACATGATTATAAAATGATGAGTGGGACATATAATCCAAGCTTGTGTAAAATTAGTTAGCTAGAACATCCCAATATAAATAGGAGAATCTGAATGTAAACCCATTTAATACTATGTATAAACTACTTGTAAATTTTATGTACTCTCTCTGTCCCAAAATTATTGTCCAGTTTGAGATTTCACTTTTAGTACAATTTGAACTAAAAATGAAAATTCAAACTGGACAATAATTATGGGACGGAGAAAGTACAAAACATGAACTGAGTTATCGTGTCAAAATCATGTTATTTCATAGACTGTCTGCAACCATCTAGAATAAATACATTAAAACACAAATTATGCTATTCACATTTAACTATGAGGGGTTTCCTCTGTAAATCGAACTATCATTTTATAATTTTGTTTTTCATCACCAAAGAGAATCAAACTTTTACTCTTCCTTTTCTTTTCTTTAATATTCATTACATTTTCCTTTTGGGGGTAGAATGTAGAAACAGGAATCCCTTCAAAGACATTGACCAATTCTCCAAAATATCTCTTTCACATTGAGCCCCCACTTCTCCCGAGTCCCAACAACTTCAATCCCCTCACGCGGAAAATAAAAAATAGGGATCTTCCTAAATTTGTGATGGAATAAATAAATCAAGAAAAAAATTGTACCAAATTATAAGTTCTTAACCATTTGAAATTTAATTGCTTCTGTTTTCACTTTCTTCATCATTACATCATTATATTTCCTCAGTCTTTTGGGACTATATAACATCAAATTACTTTGCCACCGGTTAGTGTTTTCTTGAAGTTGCTTCTTATGGACTACTTCCTACATTTGGTATGCTAATTGCATCAAATCATTCAGATATTTACAACAAGTGCTTTAAAAATGAAAGAAAAGGTAACAAAGAGGGAGTGGAATTGAATGTGGCCTAATCCTCTTTCTTTAAGGAAAGGTAATTATCAAATTGTAGTCCTACCAAAAGGGAAAAAGTTTAATATACCAAACAGATTAAGCTAAACATAAAGTATAGTGATCCCAACCTTTAATTACTTTAGTAAGGAAAATAATTATCACACTTTAACCATAATTATCCATGAGTTAACAATTAGTAGTAGCATAACAACTACATAAATGAGTTGTTTTGTCTATGCATTAGTGTGACCATACTTGATATAAAAAAGAAAGAAAGGAAAAATCGTCAAACAATTGCGTCGTTAAGAGTGTGATAGTAAATTGTCAATATCTTTATAATATAACTGTAATATGTTAAACCTATGTGATGCAGGGGCAGAAAAAAATCATGCTTGATAAAACATGAAAATAGACAAAAATAAATAGCTAAGAACTGAAAATAAAAGTTTGATGAAAGATAAATAAATAAATTAAACATCGTTGTCGACAAATGAAGACGACATTGCATTTTATACACATAGTATCATACATTATGTATATTTTAGGGTCAGGCCACTGCATTTTGTTTATCAAAATAGCTATCAATCAAAAAGGCAGCAAGAAAAACAGATGGGAGTGCTTCGACTACTTTTATTAAAATTTGAGGACTTCTTCACAATTTCATTAAGATATTTTTTTTTGAAAAATATTAAAAAATTACACATAAGATTTTATCATATGTGACATCCCACAAATGAATTTTATTTTTTCTCGCTGATTTCTTTCTGATAATAAACTATAGATTTTACATAAATACAATAAAAATCGTATATGTTATGTCAAATTAGTCGCGTAGCGTATAAAAAATTACCGACAAATTGTTTTAAGAAATGTGCTAAACTTTCATTCATTCAATAAGATTCTTGTAAAGTCGGATATTCTCACATAAATATAGTAGTATATCTGATGAATAATCAACAAGAAGTTTCTTTGTATGTACTAAAATAAAGTACGAAATTCATGTCAATGGTATTCGTTTTCCCTTAAATGAATAGAAGAATGGGTATAATTTCTTTACAGGTAAAAACTACAGTAATACTTTCTTTGTTGTAATTCTGGTTGGTCATCAAAAAGGTTGGTAACACCAAAAAACGCAAACATTTGACAGAAAAGAAACGAAAAATAAAATTAATTACAAAAATAAACTAAAAATAGTAAAATGTAGTACTCTTTTTTCTTTTTTTCCTTAACATCTGAACACATTTTCCAATGAATTCCACTCAATTTAGACTTTGCCTTTTTAATGTTGTACTTTCAATGATGTTTCCTTGTAAAAACAGACCAACAACATCAAAGACTTGACTCACCAAATCATTGGTTTAAAAGAAGTAAAATTAATATATAATTAATGAAACGTCTTAACGATTATTATTATACTTTAATAACTCCAAAATATTTAATTAAAGACCCCACTAATTATCAAATTAAACCCCAAGACAATAGTCAAATCACACAATCTTGTTTCCTCAAAAATAACAATAAATATTCACCGAAGATCTTTTTTTTTTTTAAAAAAATATTTTTCCTCTCTCTCTCTATATCTCTCTATATCACTGCGGGACTGTGTGAGAGAGAAAAGGAGAATAAGGAGTTTTTAGTGTGGAAGTAAGCTTTTTCTCTTTTTTCCTTTTTGAGCAAGGTCAAGTAATTATTAAACATAAGCCAAATTACATTAAGAAAAAAGGGAGGAAATGATTACAAAATTTAAAAGCTTATAATAATTATTCTTCCTATTTGGCATTATTAGCAAAACAGTCTTTAAATTAATTAATTAATTAATTTTCTATTAATAATTTTTTTGTGATTTATTTAATGAAGAAGATGAGTGAGTTGTTTATCAGCCCAGATCTCTCTCTTAGCTAACTCCCCTATTCTCATGCCATCTAAATAAATAATCTTTCTCTTCTTTCTTCATTCCATTTTCTCAATTTTTTTTTTTTTTTTCAAATTCCATAATCAGCTGACACATTTCTTCATTTGCTTTGCTCTCCTTCCCCCCGTCTCTCTCTCCCCTTCTCTTTTTCCTTTTTCTTTTTTTCTTTCCCTCTCTCTCTCTCTTTCTTTGTGAGCCTATTTTTTTAGGTGGATCTTGTGTTTTTCAGCCTCCTTGTTCACTGATCACCAAAAGGGTTGCTGAAATTTCTAATTTTTAAAATCATTGCGTGGAACCCATATCGATTTTTTTTTTTGGCATTCTGGTTGTGGGTTCACATCTCTATAGGTTCTTCTATTCCAGCTGGGTTTCTTTTCTTTTTGTGTGTGTGTGTTTTTTTTTATTTACACGAGAAAAATATTTATTTTGAAACTGAATACTTAATGAGATTCATGTTTCACATGATATAAATCAGGAGTTGGGTTTGTAATTTTTTTTTTTTTTTAAAAAAAGGGGTGTTGTTGTTTTGTGTTGTTTGTTTTGATTTTCTTCCGCAACTTTTTTTTGGGGGGTTTAAGGATTTTCTCATTTTGTTTTGGTGGGTCTTTAAATCTGATGATTTTAGTATCTCGCTGTTGAAAATTTTCTCGAGGGACTGATCAGTGATCACTTTGCTCCCACCAGTGTGCATTGCAGCTTTTCAGCAATCTTCTTCCACGAGGTAAAACATCTGTATTGGTTATATGATAGTACGATTGGTTGGTTGCCAGTAAATTTGTCCATTTCTCTTGTGGATTTTGCTTTTGCATGTATGTGTTAAGCAGAATTGGAAAGCCATCATGCTAATATTCGTATCTTAGATTTGATGGAAGGTGACTTATTATAGTGATTTTAAGCCTATCGAAATGCTTAGGATCAACTTTCTGTTGCTCCATTTAATTGGGTATTGGTCTTGATGCGTCCTTCTTCATATGGCTGCTTCTCTAGATTTTGTTTATCTATGGATTGACATGAGCGTTTCTATGGCAACTGTAAAAAGAATTGCTGTTTATTCATATGGATGTTTCCATGGCGCCAAGTGCAAATGCTGGTGGTTCTTTGTTACAGAAGGTTTTGATGTAGTTTGCATAATGTAGATAGCTAATCATTAGAAAACTAAAGAGTTGTGCTTATTGATTGGTTAACTAGATTATGGGAGTATCTCTTGTTTCATTTTTTGGTTTCATCCCACTAGATGCTGCTACATACTTTTCTTGAACTTACGACCTTGATATTTTTTTTTTCCTCTCTGTTTGAGATGTAATTTGAACATTGTATAAGCTTATTGAATCGCCTAACAATTGAGCGTCATTCTTCAATTGTGTACTTCGGCATGTCTCATGGTTTTATCTTCTCCATGAAAGTTACTGCTGCAATAATTGTAGAAATGATGGTACTATTGTCTTCGTAATTTATAATATTAAAGGATTGCCTATGTCATCACTTTGCCATCATGGTAGTCGGCATTTTCGAGGATCAATAACTAGATAATTTAAAAACAAAAGAAGAAAATGTATTGTCATATCTTTGAGTGTGGAACTAATATGCTTTTTATGACTAGCGTATTGACAGTTGTTAAGTAATATTTTTCCCCTTGGATCTTCTCCAACGTAAAAATGATTACAATTTCTAAAAGGAAAAAGGAAATATTAATTGGATAGTGTCATGGCTGCTCTGTGGTGAAACATCGGCAGTAAGCTGTCAAATACAAGTCCTTCTTTTATGTATTCAGATGGTATTTTCCTTTCCTTGATGATCTGAACCAAGTGGACTTCCTTGTGCTAGCTGTTCTTTTGGAGCTTGTCGGTTCTGTTCAGTATAATAATAATGAATCGAGCTTGCGTGTTGGTTACGTGAGCTCACGTTCTCTGTGCAGTGTCTTTACCTTTTTGTCTTTTCCTTCTATATATGTGTGTAACCGAATATATTATCACTTATTTGCCGTGTATATTTTAATTTCTATTCACAGGAATGAGTATGACAAGTGAAAGTGAAGACCTGATGGTGTCCAAAGGATCCATAGACTCGCCGTCCCTTGACGAGGCTAGTGGTGGTGGAAATTATGGAGTAAATGGTCCACTGAAGAAAGGTCCCTGGACTTCTGCAGAAGATGCAATCTTAGTTGAATATGTGACTAAGCATGGAGAAGGGAATTGGAATGCGGTTCAGAAACACTCTGGACTAGCTCGGTGTGGAAAAAGCTGTCGCTTACGATGGGCTAATCACCTCAGGCCGGATCTAAAAAAGGGTGCATTCACGCCTGAGGAGGAGCGCCGTATTATTGAACTCCATGCAAAGATGGGAAATAAATGGGCCAGGATGGCTGCGGAGGTACATGTCCCTCTTACTCTGGTGTATTGTAGGTAAAGTGAGGTATTGAATGATATGGATTCTGTTGCATTTAGTTCATTGCCTGTTCTGTTCCTAAAAATAACATCTCGATAATAGGATCATATATAACATTTCTTGTATGACGACGTTGCTAAGTGTTTTAGTGTATCTGCTTCACTCGATCACTTATGAGATTTGAGGAATGACTTGATAAGGACTGGTATGGAAAAAGCACGGGGTTTGGAGCTCTTGGGATAATTTAAATGCATATCTCTGTCTAGTGATGTGATTAATTGGACATGTACATTTTAACTGATGATTTGTAAGCTATGAAATCGTGTTTTGTTGTTAGGCTTTAGTGCAACCCAAATTACAGGTCGAAATGGTGCAAAGTTTGTGGTATATTTAAAATGTTGTCATGGTTGTCCTATCTGGATATTTTGAGATTTTAGCACTTGTGCATTTTGAACTCAAGTTGTTTTGTATTCCATCCTTACTATAATTAAATGCCTGATGCTGGTATGGGATTTGAGAGTGCTCTTCTAGGCAGATCCAGATTCTCTGGAAGTAAGCTGTGTTACGTAGTATACAATTAGAAACGAAAAAATAAGAAAACAGCTAAAGAAAAGAGTTATTGAAAGAAAAGTAAGAATGGGAAATAAAGGGAAAGAGCAGAGTCAGTGGAACCAAAAGTATTTTAGAGAACTTTGAATTTCCTTTTGGCCATGAGCAAGCTTTGGTTTGTTCAAAGAAGTTACACGAGAGACTAAAAGTCGAAGCATTCATCTACACGTTTATAATGTGGTTATTGGAGTATGTTGATTCCACTGACTTTTCTTAAACAGATTAATGTCTTATCCTTGCTATGCTTTCCTTAACCTGTTTTCTGGGAATCTGTCATTTGATATGACACCGGCAAATGCATCTTTCCCCTCTCCCAACTGCCCAGAGTTCTTTTAGCATGTCAAGCACAAATGTCGACACGGAAGTTCGCATGCTGAGACTAGTTTTCAAATTTTCTCTCTACTTAGACCCTTGTATGCTGATTATAGTTTTTCATAGGAAAACACCTGCATAAAACCTTCTATTGGTTTTGAGCTGCAATTTTTTCTCCTCTTCTAACGATCATGAACTATTTCTGCTTATTTTATTCTTTTTCCTACTTTCGATGTAGTGCTATAACTATCTTGGAACTCAAAAATTCCCTTGAAAATTACCTCAACTTTTTTGTGTCTGTGTGAGTGAAAATTGTCACTTTTCCTTATGCATATGGTTAGAATAAGATTAAGGCCAAAGGTGTTTTAATGTGTAGAATATGCTGGAATCCATGGTTTAATTATTTCTTGCTGACGTTTCACCTCCTGTTTGCTTGTTTTGAGGAGATGCCATTTTGAAAGATTCTTTCGAATAAAAGAAGATGGATTTTACTTCAGATAAGCTGTAGTTTGTACGTTGATGTTATGATTTGATGTCAGTTAGTTATCGATGGTTGCACAGAAGTTCAAGGCTTTAGCTGGTGTCGATGTAGAAGTTAGTGTTAGTTGCATATAATTTTGCTTTCTTTCATGACCTGGCCTGCTTCCTGTGTGGCTTATTGATATTCCTTGATTTTCTGTAACTGTTTTTTCAGTTGCCTGGCCGTACTGATAATGAGATTAAAAATTACTGGAACACCAGAATTAAGAGGCGGCAGCGTGCTGGCTTGCCAATATATCCTCCTGATATCTGTTTACAAGCTTTGAATGAGAACAAACAGAGTGAGGATTTGTCTAACTTCTCATCTGTGGATACACACCATCCTGATCTCCTACCAATTCACAGTTTTGAAATCCCAGCAGTAGAATTCAAAAATTTGGAACTCAATCACCAGTTCTATCCACCACCTGTTCTTGATGTTCCTGCTCGTAGTTTCCTTGATATTCCTACCGGTAGCCTTCTAAACCAAGGTCTTAATTCTTCCTTTGGGAGCAAAACTTTAATATCGGCACTCCACCCAACTAAACGCCTTCGACAATCCGAGTCCTTGTTCCCTGGCTTATCTACCAGTTTTGCTGGTGCTTTCTCCAGCTGTAATAAATATCAAAATGATGGTTCTGGTCAGTCTTTTCAGTCATTTGGGTTCCCGACCTCGTATGATCATAATATAACTTCTGACCACCCTTCATCTACATGTATACTTCCAGGCAGCCATGCCTTTGTAAATGGCAATTCCTCCTCCTCGGAGCCCACTTGGGCAATGAAGCTGGAGCTCCCTTCACTCCAAACTCAGATGGGTAGTTGGGGCTCACCTTCCTCCCCACTGCCTTCCCTCGAGTCTGTTGATACTCTAATCCAGTCTCCTCCAACTGAAAACACACAATCAGGTAGTCTTTCGCCCAGAAACAGCGGTCTGCTAGATGCTGTTCTCTATGAATCACAATCTCTGAAACATTTGAAGAACAGTTCATGCCAACAGACATCTAGCATGTCCATGGTTCAGGCCGAAGTAGCAGATAACTCACCTGATCTTCATGAAGCAGAATGGGAAGCATACGGTGACAACAGTTCTCCTCGAGGCCACTCCGCTGCATCTGTATTCAGTGAGTACACCCCTATCAGCGGAAGCTCTTTAGATGAACCTCAGTCGTTTGAGACCATACCAGGTACAGATCCTTTTTGTTTATTTTTTTTTTTCATGCGTGTGTTCTCTGTGTTTGGCTTGTACAATAATGGAAAACATTGGGGCAACTTTACCCCATTTTTCTGTCTGATGACAATGATTTTCGTGTCAATATGAAGGAGGCAAAGTTAAACAAGAGACCGGGGAAATGGTTCCAACACAATACTTTGATAAAGATGATTCATATCCAAACCAAATGATCTTCTCAAGGCCAGATTTCCTACTCGCCACAAACTGTTTCGGTCCCAAGGGGGACCATGGCAAAGAACCCTTTCATGCCGAAAGATGCAGTTGGGGCACATCGTGGTGAGAAGTTCGACTGAGGGTAGAGATATTCCATTGCACTGCCCTATCAGCTTGATAGTGTTATTGCAGTTCTCTTGTAGGGGTATCCTCTCCTGTGTGGTCTTTCTTACTAAATATTCGTGCATGTCTTTTTAAGCTTCATTCTGATAATGATGATGATGCCTTTGGACAGCTTTTATTGTTGTTACAGGTAATTATACATTGTGAAGTTGTGAACTAAAAGCAAAGAAATCATTGGGATTTCTAAGACAAACTTTGTAGACTATGTAATTTGCACTTGTTCCTCGTTCCGGACTTACCGAGAACTAGGTTAGACAATATCCACGCTATGTTTGATAATACAGGACTTTTTTGGTTCATGACATTGATCTAAAATTTGCAACAAATGTATATGCACTGTACTCAGCAGGTGGCAATCCCTGACATTCTTAGTTTATAGTATTATCATGATGCTGCTTCTAAGGGCTTCTGATATTGAAGGAAAGGTAAAACGACCATTACAAACTCCCCACTAAACCAGTCCATCATTTCAGGGTTACAATTTACAAGAAATGAGGATAACATATTTAGAGCGTATTTGGAGCTTGTTTGGTGAAATTATACTTATTTGTTAAAAATTAGCAACGTGAGATGTTAGGAACTTTAAATTTGGACATAGAAAAGAGGAAATTGGTAGATAAGCGAGGCCATAGAAAGAAGAATTTTTTGCGTACTTAAAACAAGGTTTGATTGGGAAGTATATCAAATAACCCATATGGTTAAAGGACACTCGTTGGGAGGTCGATTTTCAGTCAGCCGCTAAATTTGCAATTGTCTACCCTTGGGTAAAGAAGATGAACTTGCGAAGATTGCTTCCATTGAAAAGTTAGGACTTACTGAATGAGATATATGGATAAGATACCAACAATACTAATGTCACAACTGCAAGTTTAGATGAAAATGAATCACACGTACCACTCTCATAGGAGATGAATGATAATAAATTTATAAAAACAAGACTTTTAAGGAAAGAAAAATTTTAATTAGTCCAAATATTACATAAACGTATCACATCGGCTTCATAAGGCAGATGGGTTGAATCGACCCTTCAATAAACAAGTCGCAGTTAGTTGAGCCCAATTCTGGCGTATTAGCTTGTATCTCTTTGGTTTTGTTAGTTAATAGTCCAATACTCCCTCTGATTTGTCTTAAATTTCACTTAGTACGCATTTGTGATTAATAAAAAAATTTTAATGTTATAATTATCTGATAATGTGGATGCTAACAAACTAGTAAAGTAGTATAGGAATTCTTTGTATAGAGATAATATTTATTAGATATTATCAACAGTTAAATGTTATCTCTATTTACTCTTATCTCTGTATCTGCTATGTCTATAAAAGGAGAGCAGTCTCTGCAAAAGTAATACACAGATCATTCTCTCTTTCTCCCTCTTTTTTGGTCTCTCTCCCTACTTATTTTTTCTCTCAGATTTATAGATTTGTTCTTCAATTTATATCGTTATCAACATGAATCTCTACCTCTTGCTAGTTCTGTTGGGTAAGTGTTGTCAATTATTTTTGTTTCTTTTATCAAGATGTCTAACCTTATAAAACTTGAATTTGTCCCTCTGGACATATCCGGGAAGAATTATTTGTCCTAGGTTCTTGATGGTGAGATCTATCTCACTTCAAATGGCTTAGAAGAAGCAATCAAAGCTGGAAACAATGCCACAAATCAGGAGAAAGTCAAAGCCATGATTTTTCTCCGTCACCACCTTCATGAAAATCTGAAAGCAGAGTATTGACGGTGAAAGATCCATATACTTTATGGATGAGTTTGAATGAAAGGTTTGACCATCAGAAAACTGTTATTCTCCCAAGAGCTCGTTATGAGTGGAAGCATTTGTGTTTGCAAGATTTAAAATCTGTTAGTGAATATAATTCAGCTATGTTTCGAATCACTTCCCTATTGAAATTGTGTGGTGAAAAGATCTCTGATGTGGAGATCCTAGAGAAAACATATACCACGTTTCACGCATCTAATGTGCTCCTGCAGCAGTAATATCGTGAAAAGGGATATAAAAAGTATTCAGAATTGATTTTTGTCCTACTTCTTGCTGAACAAAACAATGAGCTCTTGCTGGAAAATCATGAGGCCCGTCCAACGGGTGCTACTCCATTTCCTGAAGTAAATGCAATAACAGCGCATCTTAATAATGGACAAGTTCGATGCCGTGGTGATGGCTGGGGCCGTGGTCGTAATCAAAGCCGTCATAACAGCCGTGGTGATCATAACAAGAGTACTACCCACCAGAAGTTGGGAGTCAATGATGATAAGAATGGAAAGAAAAAGAAAGATGGTGACAAATGCTTTCAATGTGGCATGACGAATCATTGGTCGCATATCTGTCGTACGCCAAAACATCTTGCAGATCTCTATCAGGAATTACTGAAGAAAGCAGAAAAAAAGATAGAGATAAATTTAATCCAGAATGATGTTATTAATGTTAACCATGGTTATGTTGACAATAATTTTACTGAATTTGCTAGTTTAGATTTGCTGATTTCTTTGTCAATCACCCTGAAGGTGAAGTTAATGCTGAAAATGTCTTTCAGTGATAGTTTTTTCCCTTAGAGATAGGTTTTATATTTTGAATTTGATGTAATGAATTTTATTTTCATTTGATGAATTTCAATAAAATATTTTCTATTTATGTTTATTTTATTGTCCATTACTTTACTTTTGTATTAAATAAAGGAAAAATATTCTTATTTAGAATTTTTTACTTTTGAAGATAATGATGTCGCAATCAGCAATGACAAAGAAACATGTCTAGCAGACAATGTAACAACACATTCAATACTCAAAGAGAGAAAATACTTTTCTCATATAATGTTGAAAAAATCCCATATTAGTATAATATCTGGGAGTACAAAATTAATTGACGGCACCGGAAGAGTAAATATAATACTACCTGGAGGCACTAAATTTTGCATTAATGATGCATTATATTCCCCAAAATCTCAACGAAATTTGTTAAGCTTTAAAGATATTCACCAAAATGGATATCATATAGAGACTTGTTGTGAAGATAACATTGAGTACTTGTATATTACGAGTAATGTTGCTAGGAATAAAAATATCTTAGAAAAATTGCCTTCATATTCCTCTGGATTATATTACACATATATTACTACAATTGAAAATTATGCAACGGTAAACCAGAAGTTTACTAATCATAATGCTTTTATGATTTGGCATGACTGGTTGGGCCATCCCGGTTCTATTATGATGCGAAGAATTTTAGAGAATTCTTATGGTCATTCTTTAAAGAGTCAGAAGATTTTTCAAACTAAAGAATTGTCTGCTTGTTCTCAAGGCAAATTAATTATAAGGCCATCACTAATGAAAATTCGTACCGAATCTCCTCAATTCTTAGAACGTATACACGGTGATATTTGGGGGTCTATTCACCCATCTTGTGGGCTATTTCGCTATTTTATGCTTTTATTTGATGCATCAACGAGATGGTCACATGTATCTTTATTATCAACTCGCAACCTGGCGTTTGCGAATTACTTGGAGAGTTGATTCGGTTACGAGCACATTTCCCAAATAATCCTATTAAAACAATACATTTGGATAATGCTGGTGAATTTAAATCCAAGTCTTTTAATGATTATTGTTTGTCAATTAGGATTAAAGTTGAACATCCTGTAGCTCATGTTCATACACAAAACGATCTGGCAGAATCGTTTATAAAGCGCATCCAGTTGATAGCGAGGCTTTTACTTATGAGAACTAAACTCTCAATATCTGCTTGGGGGCTTGCTGTGCTACATGCCACAACAGTAATTCGTATCAGGCCAACAAATTATCATGAGTACTCTCCCCAATAATTGGTTTTTGGTCAGGAGCCAAACATTTGCCATCTTAGAATTTTTGGTTGTATGGTATATGTTCCTATTGCTCTACCACAACGCACAAAGATGGGACCTCAAAGAAGGTTGAGAATACATGTTTGATATGAATCTCTATCAATCATAAAATTTCTTGAGCAAAAAATTGGAGATTTATTTACGGCTTGTTTTGCTGATTGTCATTTTGATGAGTCAGTTTTTCTAACATTAGGGGGAGAAAGTAAACAGTTGGTTAAAAATATTACTTGGAATGAATTGTCATTATCTTATCTTGATCCTCATACAAGGCAATGTGAAGTAGAAGTTCAAAAGATAATTCATTTGCAACAACTAGCAAATCAATTGCCAGATACTTTTATTGACTTGAAACGTGTAACTAAATCACATATACCAGCTGTTAATACTCTTGCCCAAATTGATGTCCCTGAAGGACCTTCTACCACAAATCATAAATTAAGGGCACAACAGAAACGTGGTAGACCTATAGGTTCTAAAGATAAAAATCCTCGTAAACGAAAAGGGGCAAATACTTAAGATGGCGAATTCGAGGTTATTAAGTTTTCTGAAGAATCTTTGCAAATAAAAAATCCCAACATAACAGAAAATTGACTTCCTAAAGAAGTTCATGTAACTGAAAGTTTTGAGATCTCAATTAATTATGTTATGACGGATCGAAAGTGGAACAGATGTACAACAGAAGTCGACGACGAATTTGCCTATGCTGCAATAGTTAACATTATAAATGAAAATAAGGATCAAGAACCAAAGTCTGTTGATGAGTGCAGACGAAGAAATGATTGGCCAAAATGAAAGCACACTATTCAATCAGAATTAAATTCATTGGCAAAACGTAAAGTCTTTGGACCAATAATGCGCACACCTGAAGATGTGCAACCCATAGGATTCAAATGGGTATTTGTGCAAAAAAGAAATGAGAAAAATGAAATCGAGCGTTATAACGCACGTCTCATCGCACAAGGTTTTTCCTAGCGACCGGGTATTGATTATGAGGAGACATATTCTCTGGTGGTGGATGCAACAACGTTTTGCTACTTGTTAAGTCTGGCAACAAGTTAAAGACTAGAAATGCATCTCATGGATGTTGTGACAGCCTATCTATATAGGTCACTTGATAACGAAATTTACATGAAAATCCCTGAAGGTTTTTAGATCCCTGAAGGATTTGGTTCTCGAGAGCTTTATTCAATTAAATTATGCAAATCATTGTATGACTTAAAACAAGCAGGACGAATGTGGTATAACCACCTTAGTGAATATCTAATAAAGGAAGGTTATTTAAATGATTCAATATGCCCATGTGTTTTTATCAAAAGATGTGGATACGAGTTTGTAATCATTGCAGTTTATATTGATGATTTAAATATAATTGGGACTCCTGAAAAGCTCACTAAAGCTGCAAATTACTTGAAAAAAGAATTTGAAATGAAAGTCCTTGGAAAGACAAAATTGTCTTGGTTTACCAATTGAGCACACTAGAAATGGCATGTTTTTATACCAGTCTGCTTATACTGCTAAAGTGCTTAAACGATTTTACATGAAAAAA